CTACACTGTGTCATCTTCAGTGGGAGCAGTCTTTGGAGATTTCTTTGGGTGTGAATACCTTCATTGGGAGTTACTGCTACTCTGTATCAGGTATATCCCTCTTCGACCTTTTGGTTTCAGATCTGGTTCGGTTCTTGGTTCAAGTTTGATCCTTGAAAATGTAGATTTTATAAAATAGGGAATGTGATTCCCAAATGGGGAGAGAGAAATTTTTGAAATTTTGCCCAATCTACTTGCAGGTTCAAATCTTGAACCAAAATAGACTAGATCTGAACCTCCACAAATTGGCAGAAGGCGTTCTACCCGATTTGCGCAAATTGTGTTTTTTTTGGGAAATCGGTTGCCAGATCAAGGGCGAATGATCTTAATTTAATTTTTTATAAATCTAAATTTTATTTAGAATTGTTCTTTATATTTTTCTTGATTTATGGGTTGTTCGTACAAAGGAGATCGAATTCTTTATTTGCGTAGGATATCTGCGATTTGCAGATTTTTTCATTCTGGTCTGTAATTAATTCTTTTTTTTTAATTTTTAGACTGAATGTATAGGAATTCGATCTGATGTAATATTAATAGAAAAATTAGGGTTTTCTACTTATTTTATTTCATGATCGAAGATGGCTGCACAAGAGGAGAATTCATAGATAAGGAAATCGCTATCTGCGATTTGTAGTTTATGAAATTGCAAACTGTGATATAACATCTGTTTTGTAGGTTGGTAGATGTGCGAACAACCCTGTTACTGATTTATGATTGTCTTTGATCTGTAATTAATTTCAGATCAATTTCTTGAATTAATTCTTGAATTGAAAATCAAACCCTAGACCCATTCGAACCAGATTGGACCAAACTGGTTGGACCAAATCTGTGGTTTGATGGGGGATGTTCTTAGCCCTAATTTCCCACTTTTGGGTCGAGGGGTTGATGTTTAATTGTGAGAATTAATTCGGCCCACACCTATAAGGCCCAGTTTTAAGGAGTTAAAACTACTAAAGCCCACTAACTACAGAAAAGCTATATGGGTCGAACTGCTTAATGCTATTCATCCCATATACCTAGATAATATTAATTAGTAATATTATAGATTAAATTGGGCTTTAATAATGGACTTTATAGATATTAATTGATTGGATCAATTCTATCATTGCATGTGATGTATGGATGTGTGATGTGCAACGTACATGGGCCATAAGTACTTGGCCCATGCAGATACGATAGTGGCTCTTACGCACACCATAGCTGAATGCACATCATTGCCATGGTGTCCCTAAAGATCATTGGATGATCTCCCTTGTGGTGGGCCCCATACCTCCTTGAATAGGATCTGTATGGAACCCTAGCCGTTTAGGGCCTACCGAAATCTGGCTTTATGAAAGTCAGTGGGAGCCACTTTGGTTTTACCTAAATTAAACTAGGGCATAATAACTTTGTTCCCTCTTGAAATATGAGTGCATGTGATAGGGAAATTCATATGATGAACTCTTTAAATGCCTTCCATCATTAGCATGAAGATGGGTCCTTCAGTAATGAGGAAACACACCATAAAATTGGGCTATCCATTTGCCGCTAGATCTGTTGGGAGGGGCTTATTCTAAAATCAAAGACTCTCTCATGGTACCTTGGCGTTCACGAATATGATGGGTAAGCACTCACTGGACAGAAAGGTTTAACCTAAAATGGCAATGAACCTTGTCTGACAGAGGCCGAAAGGAAAGCCCATAAGATGAGTGGATATGATCCTTCACAGAAAGGTGGTGGGATTATGCAGCTAAAACAGTTGGCTCCATGCACCTTATGTGATTTCCCACATTTTCAGAGACATAAGTCGCTGTCTCCGTCACTGAGATGGGAGGAAAATCTCAAAGATGAATAAATGAGAATGGAATAGATTAAAAGCCATATCTATGTAACTAACATGAATCAAATTAGGTTGTAGACTAATGTTTGCTTTTTAACAGAAATGACAAACAAACAATTTGCAAAGCTGTTGGATGACAACAAACTTAAGGGCCCAAACTATGCTGACTGATACCGTAACCTTATGCTGGTCCTAACTTCTGAGAAGTTGGATAAGGTGGCTAAAAACCCTGCCCTAGAGCGTCTGGGTGATAGGGCTTTTGAGGCCCGTAGAAGGGAATACCTTGAGTGGGAAGAGAAAAATTCCCTGGCCCGTTGCTATATCATTGCCTCTCTGGACAATCCGATACAAAGGCAGTTTGATGAGGTCGAACTTGCCAAGACATATAGGATAATTTAAAGACAATGTATGAAGAGAAGAATCATTCTATTCGGCAGAAGGTCTTGAAGCAGTTCATGACCGCATAGATGTCCAAGGGCCAGCAGGTTCATGACCATTGTTTTCGGATGATGGGCTACATCAATGAACTTAAGGCTCTTGGATCCGGGCTGGACCAAGTCACTAAGGTAGACGCCATCCTAAATTCTTTGCCTCCTTCCTTCAATCCATTCATCATGAATTACAACATGAACAAGCTGAATGTCAGCATTTAGGAACTCAGCAATATGTTGTAGAGGGCCGAAGAACTGATTAAGAAGGATGAGCCTCTTGCTATGCTTGTTGAAGCTAGCAAGTCGGGCAAGAAAAAGAGGAAGGAAAAGAAGAAGCCCTAGAAGAAAGCCACCAAGTCCAAGAAGCAGAAGAAGGACAGAGCATCAGATGCTTGTCACTTCTGCAAACAGACCGACCACTGGAAGAGGAACTGTCCTCAGCACCTGGAATCCAAGAAAGGCAATTTCGAATCCTGTGTCATAGAAACCAATTTGTTGGTTACTTCTGCTTCCTGGTGTATTGACTCTAGGACATCGACTTATGCGTGTAACTCACTGCAGGGGTTCGGATAAGCAGAAGACTGAGTGATGGAGAAGTAACTCTTTACTTGGGGACTTCTACAAGTATTACAACTGCGGCCATAGGAACCGTAGAGTTAATTTTCAGAGAAGGAACAATTGTACTGAAAGATCAAGGCAATCCTCGACGAAGTGTGCTTTCAGGGTCGGCTTTGGAAAATTCCTAGGGCTAATGGTCACACAACGAGGAATCGAAACCAACCCTGAGAAGATCAAGGCAATCCTCGACATGCAAATCGCCTCAAACCTACAAAGAAGTGCAACGCCTTACCGGACGAGTAGCCGCCCTCACCAAGTTCATGTCAAAGTCCGCGGACCGATACTTGCCCATCTTCAAGGCCTTGAAAAAGATGAAAGATTTCCAGTGGATAGAGGAATGTGAATAGTCCTTTCAAGAACTGAAGAGGTACTTGAGTTCACCGCCCCTACTCACAAAGTCGAGCCCCGGAGATGTGCTACTACTCTACCTCTCGGCTGAAGACGAGGTGGTCAGCTTGGTACTGGTAAAGGAGGAAGACCAGGCGCAAAGGTAATAACTCTACATTTTGATGCCTTAAGGGCATCAATTCAGGGGTAGGCTTTAGAAAAGTCAAAGTGTGCCCTTTTCCCAATCAATTTCAATATTGTGACCTCTAAGGGTCTATGTGCAAATTCTGTGCAAAACTGGGAAGTTTTCAGGGCTAAAATGCAGCTTTTGGGAAGCTAGTGTGAAGTCCAGCTGAGAGAGGGGGTGCTTTTGTGAAAAACCGAGAGCAGGAGGGCGCCTCCTATCTACTAAACCTAGTTTGGCACCCCTTCTACTGTATTAGCATGCTCCCCATGCCTTAGCAAACCCTAGGGTGCCTTTTAACCCATTCTTTTCACTCTTAGAAAACCCTAGCTGCCCCTAGGTGTTTAATCTTCACCCTCCACCTCTTTTAATCTCAACCACTCATTCTACGGCACTCTTTTTGTAGCTTTTAAACCCTACGACGCCACGTAATTGCTAATCCTCACCATTCAACCCCTAACCACTAGATCTTAGCCCTCAATTCCATCTTCTATCTCAGCCATCCACTCTAGGGCATCACTTACCTCTTTTAATCTCCACCTTTCAGTCCTAGGCGCCTCAATCTCCACCATCTATTTTTGGGTGCCCAAATCTCAACCCTATATAATATTGGCTGCCCTCTCCTTCTATTCTCAGCCTTAGGATCACCCCAAAACCATCCTAACCCTCCATTAGAAACCCTAGGGTGCCCATATCTTTGCTAAAACCCAACTGTCACCCCCCTTTCTCTCTCTAATCCCAGTTGTGTCCATCCTTCTCTATAAAAAGGACCCAAGGGCTCCTGAGAAAGGGTTGGATTCTGCCCCCAAGTAAGACAAAAGGCTGATCTTCAGAAGTTCAAGGGTAGAGGAAGAGGAGAACGCCTAGTATAGAGGAGGGGTTCCTGCTTGCAGTTCGCCAACACCACTACTGCCACCTCTGGATTTGGATCCCAACCATTAGTCTTAGATTTAATTTCGGTTCTTTCAATTCCAGTTTCGCTATTTCCTTTTTGCAATTTATTTTTATTTTGTTTGATCTTCGTATTCTTTTCTGCAGATCTGGAATTTGGCCAGGTAAGACGGAAAGCCTAGCTCGAGAAGTTTGAAGGTTGAAGGAGAGATACGGAGACTGCTACCTCTGATCGGATTACAGAAATTTTAATTAGTTTCCTTTATTTAATTATTGTTGTATTTATTTATTTTTCTGCACTTCTAATTTCTACAATGTTTGAATTCTATCTTTTTCAATTTAATTAATTAATTTTTATATTTCTACACATCCATCTTGTGTTCTCTTGTCCGGATTTGAGTACGTATTAATTTTTCCTTGCTTCCATGAAGATACGACCCGTTCTCATCATTTTACTGCGTTTGTAATTGTTTTGAGAATTGGAAAATTTTATAAATATTAAACTAGTGTTCCGAAGTGGTTAACAACACGCTTTCGGACACACCAAATTTTTGGCACTGTTCTTGGGGGAGCAGCAGAGAAACATTTTTATTTGCTTTATCCGAATCTATTTCATTATTTTTTTTTTATTTTTGTTTTATTACTTTATCCTTTATCTCATTTTAATTCTCACTTCTCTTTGATTTTACAGGACGAAATAGCGAAAGGTGGGGTATCAGAGCATTGCGGGACTGCGATAGAGAAGAGAAGAGATGATTAATTAGATTACATTTAAGGTGCAGTCATCCCATTTTATTTTTTGATTTTTTTGATTTTTATTTTCGAACTCTTTTTATTGGTAGAATAGTGATTTTTGAATTTTTAATTAATACTTTTTTAGATTTGATGTTTTTTTAGTATTAATTTTCTTTCGTTTTGTGTCTAGATCTATTTTTCTTTTTTTATTTTAATTTCTTGTTCGAATTTCTGTCTTATTAGTTTTGTGTTTTTCTTTTATTTTAGATTAAAAAATAGAAAAAAGAATTTCGTTTATTTTATTTTATTTATTGCTGCATATTTTTTTTGTTTATTTTATTTTCAATTTAATTTTTAGAATAGCAATTTTCTTGTTAGAATTTATTGTGGTAGTTGTTAATCTTTTTAGCATAATTATTTCTTTTATTTTCTGGTTGTTATAATTATTTGTTGCCTTATTTAATTTCCTTTTTATTAGTGCTTTAATTGAATAATTAATTGTTAAAGAGGAAATTATTTAAATTTTCAAATTTGAGTTTAAATTTTGAATTTGAATTTAAATTTAAATTTTAATTCGAATCTGAATTTGAATTTGAATTAAAAAAATAATAAATAATAATAAATAAAGATATAAATAAATAAATCAATCAAAAAAAAAATTTGCATTCCAACATTTAGGGTGTGATATTCTAGAGCATGCATCATATACGTTTATTTAATTGCTGAAATTATCATTGTTAGTTGTTAATGTGTTTGGTTTTCTTTTTATTATTTTAATTGTTCCTTTTGCCTAATTAGTTTGCTTTATTATTTTATGTTTAATTGCTGAATTGCATATTAGAAATGATTGTTCATGCATTGTAATTAGTGGCATTTTCTTTGTTTATTTTGTTTCTTTTTTGTTAATCCAATTAAGGGCAATCCAACTTAAATAAGATTAGGTGGGGATTTCATCGCCCTTCCTTGTCCCAAAAATCACCACCCTTCACGTGTGATTCACTCTAACCCTAATTTAAAATTTGGATAGTAAGATCCTTTAGGGAAGCCTCACATTTGGTTCAAAGGTGTGCTGAATTTTAGGAAAGCTTGTGATTACCTTCCATAACCGGTGGATGGTGTCTAAGGAAAGGAGTTAAATGGCTACACTTAAGCGAGTTTTGTGGTTACTTAATTAGGTCCTTGCGAGAGCAAGAGGAGCCTCCCACATCCCTACCTCTTACCTGGCTAACCAAAGGAAGTGGTGTAATTCCAAGTGAACCTAAAAGGATTCACATTGGTTGAACCACTAGTTTAGGAAACCCTAGGTCAGCCCTGGGTCGTGTGGTTGATTTGTTTGCATTTTTTTTTTGAAAGTTTAAAAATTCAAATTTGAATTTAAATTTCAAAATCTGAATTTGAACTTAAATTTTAAAAATTAAATTTTTGAATTTAAAAAGAAAGAGAAAATTAAAATAATAAAAAAGGAGAGAAAGTTTCAAAATTTGAGTTTAAATTTTAGAATTTAAATTTCAAAATCCAAATTTGAAATTAAACTCAAAATTTAAAATTCAAATTTAAACAAGAAGAAAAGGGACTTCTGAGTTGTAGGTTGGGAAGGAGATCTCTAAGGAGAGAAATTGTAGAACCCATACCTGAAATAGAGAGATACCTCCATCACCAACACCGCAACCAAATGGCCGGAGTCACTGATGCCCAGCCCAAAAAGTTAAAGGAATACTTTACTCGAACCCAATACAACCCTTCATCCTACATTCAACTACCAGATACTCAAGCCTTACAGTATGAGATTAAGTCAAGCATAATCCAGATGCTCCCATCTTTTTGTGGGAACCCGAGTGAGGATCCATACAAGCACATAGACGAGTTTCTAGAAATCTATTCTATTGTAAAGACCCAGAATTTCAATAATGATGCCCTTAGATTGACTCTTTTCCCCTTCTCCTTGAAAGATAAAGCCAAGCACTGGTTAGGGACTATAGGGAGACTCATTAGAACTTGGGCAGAAATGCAACAAGAATTCCTTAAAAAGTTCTATCCTATAAGTCGAACCAATACCAGGAGAAGAGCCATTACTGGATTCACCCAAACACCAGGTGAACAAATTCATGAGGCTTGGGAGAGGATGGAGGAGTTAATGAGAAAATGCCCACACCATGGCCTGTTCCAGTGGAAAATTGTCTAGAACTTCTAAGAAGGTCTGACAGATCAATACAAGCTAATGGTAGATGAATCTTGTGGGGGGGGGGGGGCATTTATGAGCAAGAGTGAGGATGAAGCATATGCTCTTTTCGAGACCCTGTGTGAGAATTCCATTAACAATGCATCATTGTATTCCTACGAAAGGTCGGTGGAACCCTCAAAGAGGGTAGGGTTCAATGAGGTCAGGAATAATATAGAGCCCGGGGCAAAAATGGACTTGAGTGCCATTTCTAGAAAGTTGGATAGGGTAAATCTTCTAGTCCAGAAGCTTGACTAGTTTTTCACCTTTAACCAGCAATCAGGCCCATCTACATCCTATCCCAAAGTGTGTTCCATTTGTGCCAATCCAGCCCACCAAGTTGATGACTGTCCTACGGCGGCTCAGTTTCCACTCTTTATCCAAGAACAAGTTCAGGCAGCCCAGAGTTTCTCGAGGCCCAACAATGATCCATATTCCAATACTTACAACCTTGGGTGGAGAAATCACCCTAACTTTTCTTGGAGGACACATCAACCCAATCTATAGTCCCAGCAATATCAGTATCTGTCCAACTCCATGGCCCAACAGTTTCAAAGGCCATCAGTACAAAGTTAGTTCCAACAAGTGTATCCAAGGAATCAATCGGCCCAACTGTATCAGGGTTACCCATAACCTCCACAATCCCGTTTAGTAGATGATCAATTTATGCAACTTTAGCAACTAATCCTAAATTAGCAGTAGTCCATTGTTAGGTAAGAAAGCCAAATAGAACAGCTAGCCGAAGCTAATGCAAGGAGAGAAGTGGGGCAATTACCGAGTCAACTAGCTGCAAACCCTAGGAATCAGCCACCGGGTTGTCCTCAACAAATTCAACCACCTCCTAAGAATCCCCAATTCGAAAATGCTAAATCTGTTACAACTTTAAGGAGTGGGAGAATTTTGGAAGACCCGTATGAGAAGAAGAAAAGTGAAGAAGAAGGAAAGGAGCCGGAAAACCCTAAGTTGGGGGGGGGGGGGAAGAAGAAGAGCCCAAAGTGAACCAACCTGTGGTCCCCTTTCCAACGCACTCACAGTCGGGCCGTTGCTGAAAAAGAAAGAGATTTGCAACGAGGAGATCAGGGAACTCTTTAAACAAGTACACATTAACATTCCTCTCCTCGATGCAATCCAACATGTCTTGGCTTATACCAAGTTTCTGAAAGAGCTATGCACCCAAAAGAGGGAGCCATGATTAGCCCCACAAAAAGTGATGCTCTCGGCAGATGTGAGTGTGGTCCTCCTAAACCAACTTCCCCGGAAGATTAAAGACCCGGGTGCTCCTCTCATCAGTTGTATCATCTCTGGAATCACCTTTGATCGGGCCCTATTGGATCTTGGGGCCATTGTAAATATGCTTCCGTCCATCATTTACGAAAGGTTCAGGATCGGCGAGTTGAAACCTATCCCGGTAATTCTATAACTCGTTGATTGGTCGATCAAGACTCCTCGAGGTGTTATCGAGGATGTCATTGTCAGTATAGAGAATTGTTATTTCCTTGTAGACTTTGTTGTCCTAGACATGACCCCAACCGAAGAACTGAACCATAACCCGATAATCTTAGGACGACCGCTTCTAGCAACGGCCAATGCAAATATCAACTGCAAGTCGGGGGGAAATGGACATCTCATTTGGGGAGCAGAAGGTCCAATTGAATGTTTTCAGTGCCTCTAAGTATCCAAACCTATGGGAAGATGAATGCAATGTGGACATAGTGGACAATCTTGTGAATGACTTATCTACCCCTTGGTTAGCCCAGTTTGAGCCTTGTTATGATGAAGAAAGTGAGTCCGAGAGTCTGGATGGAAGAAGTGCATAAATGCGTCTGGTTGAAGACGTTAAACTTAGTGGTAGTTGAGAGGCAAACCAATGTAGATTTTTGTTTTTAGGATTTGAATTTCCTTCTCTTGATTTGAGACTAGGTGGTAGACCTTGAACCCCTTAGGAAAACCCTATTGATTGTTCCCTTTGGCCCAAGTCCATTTTGCATCATTCTAGTTATGCCATTGGGGACAATATCATTTAAGTTGGGGGGTAAGGAAAGAGAAAGAAAAAAATTGAAAAAAAAAATGACAAGTTAAGCCTTTAAATATGTAGAATTAAAATTTCACTAAAAATTTTAAAAATTATTTCCATTAAAAGAGATTTCCAAACAGAAAAAGTTGAGAAAACTGATAAAAGAATATTGAATTTTGTAGAAATTGGTACCAAGTGATAGGAGTCAGAATTGGTCTTATTTGAATATTGTCAAAACCGTTTAGAAATTGGAAAATACTCTCAAATTTGCCCTTGTCAAGATAAGAAGAGAAAGATGGAGAAATTAGACAAAAATTCTTCAAATTGTTAAAAACAGTGGACTACCTTGAACAATGTTGCCAAAAAAAAAAGAAAAAAATAGAATAAAAGGTCAATAGACACCCTAGACTTAGTAACCGGGTCTCTTCACCTAAGTCAAGTGTCGATATTTGCGTCAAACGGAAAAGGGAATGCCAAAGATGAAAGAATGACAGGATCCATCATATGGACGCCAAAAAGGTTGTGGAATGGGTGGGTGAATTTAAAAAGTTTCCTACCTTTCTTCCAACTGGGAATCGCATTCCCTGATTTTAGAATCAAAATTCAATGATCCTACTTGAACCAAACCAGACCAGATCTGAACCAAAGATCCGAGGAAGGGTTATACCTGATATGGAGAATCAAAATCTTCCAACGTCGGTGTTCACGCCCAAAGAAAGATCCAAGATCTGCTCCCATTGAAAATGACACAGCGATGGTGGGGCAGAACCAACAGTGTACGTCTCATGTACCGAACTCTTCACAAGAACTCGTTGGAGGCTTAGAGCACTGGACCAAATCAGCCTTTCAGCAAAGACTAATATCAAGAACAGATTTCTTGATTCTCCCTTCAATGGAGTTCGAACTATGCAGCAAGGTGGCGGCGGCTGGAGGAGATCGCTAAGGCTGAAAGTGGCATGAATGCAGTTTTCAGCTTAGGGAAGATGAGATCCTATCTCAGATTGCATAGAGAGTTAACTGCAAAAACCCTAGGTCGAATTCTTGTAATTCTTTATTAGGGTTTTCTCCTTTGTTAGTGATTAAGAAACCTCCTAATCCAATTAGGAATTATCCCAATCCAAATTTGTATTTGGATAGGGGATAATCTTAATCCTATATGCAGATTAGATCAGCTCATCCCTGATCTCATCAGGAGTTTAGTTTTAATCCTATCTGCAGATTCGCCCCTTTAAGTGGGTGATCAGATCAGTCCAGTTTCAAATGGGCTTTTAAGCCCAATAAGTAATTAGTGCTCAATAAGTTTTTAAACTGCTGCCCAGTTGGGCTTCTTTGTATGGCGTGGGACCCAAGCATTGATCTCTACATCAGCCACATGGGTTCGGCCCAGCCTTTGTTACAAGGCTTAGCCGAATTCACTAGAAAGCCCAGTGAACCCCTTGAGCCCATCACATGGACCCTTTGGGCCCAACACTTACACTAAGTGGTCCTTGGGCCAAGCCCTCTTATAAAAACCCAGGGACTGTGGGCAAATGCAAAGATTAGCCCACCAGGTATTATCCTAAATGGCCTTACACTTAACCTCTCAGCCCATAATGATCAAGCACTGCCCGACAAGAGAGGACCTCTCCCTYGGCWGCAAGGAACAGTGCTGCACTCTCTACTCACATGGATCCCGGGA